TTATTCGTTTTTGCATGGCAGCAACTTAAAGCTCCACAGTAGTCGCAATCGCACTATAACTACTGGCATATGTTAAGTTTCCATTCCATTTGCAACTAATGCATAGTTGCTGAATATATTTAAGGCGCACTGTGCACATTTTCCCCGCCCACGTCCTGTCAATTTACCTGTGCACTGCAATTCTTGGCCTGTTTGAGCGGAAAGATATGTGAAGGAGAAAGATTATTGGGGCAAAGGCCGAAGAAGGAGGTCATGTGAGCTCAGTTTTAATTAGTCGCTCAATATGCTGCAGCCCACAACAATAGTTGTGTGGGAGTGCCTAAAGCCAATCCTGGCTCATGTCCAGTCAACTGATGTCCTTTGCACAAGTATAGCTACCTTTATCTGCACAGGCCCAGCCTTATCTGGCTGTTAAATCCGTTTTACGTGCTTCATGAAACAATTGTGCCACACGCGGCATTAATAAATTACACGGAATTATTTTGATTGTGCGCCATTAACGATTCCCACTGAATTCCCATTTTTCAATCCAAATTTTAAAACATCATATATTATATTGGCGACTTAAAGCTTTCAAAGGCTTGCGAGGCAAAAAATGTAAGATTTATAAAGTTGATAATTTCAGAAACAACAACTCATCTAAATAGTTATTTATATTATACAAATTACGTATCATGACAGCTTAAACGTTGTGCTTTAAAAAATTAAAAAGAAATCATATGGAGTTCATGGTGCAGAAAATACAGTATAATAATATAGCGCACTGTCTTAAATTAAACAATCCATGATTAAAAAGTTGATGTTTATTAATTCCACTTCACTTAGTTATAAATTCATGAAATTAGTAACACAACTCACAGGTCGCACCCGCAATAAAACTTTTCGCAGGACTTTCGAGCTGTCTTTTGAATGCCCTTTCAGTCCTTTCATCAAAGTCCCTCCACCGCAACCCTTGCCATAAATATTTACATATCTTAATGCAAAATTAGACAATGCGACCCACAAACTTGGGGGTAAAAAACTAACGCCCTAAGCGGTCGCCATTCGGTTGATTGGCGAAAAGCTCCACCATTGGCCACCAGGGCCAATAAGACACCCAAGATATTACAAACAAAACTCAAGAAGACAGCAAACAACGTTGCAAAAAGTTAGCCGAGCTGAGGCGGCGGCGGCGGCGGCAAATAAAAAAGTACACAAAACTGGAGGAGAAAGAAAGAACTTTATGCTAATTTCACTTTTCTCGAACGATGGCATAACCCAATTCTTCTCCCTGGCTTCCTGAGTTTTTTCCCATTTCCGTCCAAAACCAACAGATAAATGGCGCCAGAAGCTGGAAGGAAAGTGTGCGACTTGAGGTGTGGGAAGTGGCTGATATGATAATTTGCAGCATTGAAGGGCACGCCAAGTTGCCACAGGATGCGAGTCGAACGTGACCCAGGCTAGGAAAGTGATGGCTCCAGGGATGCAATCAAATCTGAAACGAAACTCTAGTTGACATTACTTTTTATTGAAGGCAGTTATGATTTATGGAGATTTGGCAGGCTTAGAAGATCAAGAAATCACGCGTGTTATATTCTTAGAAACTGTGTTTTATACTTTTTATACCAAAGGATATAAATATATAAATTGGGGAGCAAGATTTTTCTGACACAAAACGGGGTTCTACGAGTATATGTGGAAAAAGGGGATATATATTATAAATAAATACGCAATTTCAAGTACACACACATTTGGGTATTCCATAATTTTTGGACAAGGCTACTTGTATCCAACCCATTACGTAAGGGGTCAATTAAAATGTTGCTGAGCAGTTGATTTGGACTGTGGAGGTCAATTCAAAATGAATTACTAATTAAAGAGCTCAAAGCCCGGAATGCAATCGTAGCTGGGAGCAAACAAATACGGCTAATTAACATTTCTGCTGCTTTCTGACACGTCATCAGTCAGTCCTTTAGAGCCTATTCAAATGAATCTCCCATCAACATTTAACCTGGTCTCCGGACTCCGGACTCCGGTCAGTGGGCTCTGCCCAGAAAGCTAACAAGTTGAGGGCACTTGGGAGGACTTAAAACAGGGAGCAGATCAAGCGTTTCTGGCACTTTGGCTACGTGACGAGTGTGTTTCAATTTGAATTCGAAATTGGTAAAAATTATGCGGATCTTTCGCTCAACTGACTAGTTGTTGCCTCCAGCATTTGTACCTTGATATAATTTCAATTTGGCCGGCACCCTATAAACAATCTATTAAATTTCCATCCAATCACAAGAGCAATTAATCATTGACACTATTTAGGCGCCCATCAAGCGAAACAGCGCGACTGGAGAGAAGTTCAGATCCGAAGCTTAGGACGGCTAAAGGCCTGAATTGTTAACTATTGACTGATTGGTAACTGACATGTTGCACTTGCCTTCACTTCAGAACACAATTACAATTACAATAACCATATTTTTGTAGATTTTTTTTATATATATTCATATATACATATGTATTTCAAGGTTTAATGTACATGTGATTTTATTATTAATAAAATCAAAACCCATCTCTAAGAAAACCTTAATTTCAAAAAAATGTTCTCAATCCAGTTCGAGTTCCAATTAGAAATTAATTTATGCTCAAAAAAATGCTCTCTCAATTCCAATTCCATGCGTCCTGGCAACATTGTAGTCGGCAGCATTTCGGGTTTCTACTACCACATGCGCACACCAATTTCCGATTAGAACGCGTTGGCAACATGTACCCAGCAACATTTCCACTGCGGCTTGAGTGAAACCAGAAGGCCAACATGTTCATGCCGGATTCGAACAGGTTCGCGCTCAAATCAAACTTGAGTGGAAAGTAACTCACCTTTTCTGCACCCCTACTTTGGTTGCCGCAACATTGCGGATCGTATCTTGAAATTTCTCCTCTTCTGGCAACATTCAGGAGCAAAATAGCGCCACCTGGCGGCATTTGCAGCCGCGCGGCTCCCCCTGGTGGCAAATTTAAAGTTCGGTGGCTCCACCAAGCGATTGTTTCTTTCCATCCACTGCTCCACCTTGCGGTAAATTGTGCTTTTGTGGCTCCCCTCAGCGGCTTGTGTTATATGGTTGAAGTCCTAGCTTTATCAGTATTTTATACACACAGTTCTCTTACGCTTTACTCATGAGTAAAATAGTATTCTTGCGGTTCTATTCATTAAATTTCCAGCAGTGTAGCAGTGTATCTCGGTCTGGGCTGCTGAAGATTTTATGAAGTTTTTGAGTCGCGAATCACTTACTCGCTGAAAAGTGCACTTCAGGCAAAGGAACACGTGTAGATCTCGAGAGCTAAAAGCTAGAATATCAGCCAGCATCAGGATTATCCTAGTATTTGGTATCAACTCGCCTACGCAGTACGATAGTGGTCGAAACGAAACGCCACGTTACGCAACGCCGATATTGTTTTTCTATTATTAAGCAACTCTCAATCTAGAACAGCTGAAATTATTTATGAATTCAATAAATCTGATAAAATATATATATGTAATTATAAAAATAAATTAAAATTATAATTATTTTTATATAATTATATTTATATAATAACTATTTATATATAATATATTATATTTATTATAAATTATAATAAAATTTATAAAATAAAAAGAGAAGCTTCATGCTTTATTTAACTTCCCAGAAGCTAGCTCGGTAGAGCAATAGACTCTATTTCTGTTCTCAGGGAATGGGTTGGGGCCACTAATTGGGCTGGACATGGCTATAACCGCCTCTCGTAGAAGGACACTAAAAAGACACGGTATAAGTTAAAATGCTAAAACAGGCAAAATGATAACTGCGACAAAACTGAAAGAGTAGCAATTCGATAGCGAATTGAGCTGATCAAAGCGTAATCCAGAGGTGGATCAATGAGCTGGAATGAGGAGAAACGGAAATGAAACGAAAAAAAAGTTAATAAGCTTAGATCAGTCTGAAGAAGTACCGTGCGGAGGAGTATCGAGGAGAACATTTAAACACAGATGAGTCCATTCTTCCGTCTTGCAAGTGACGGGAAAGAAGCATGCCCAAACAGTACTAAAAGAAAAAAAACAAGGGAGAATGCCATTGTCGAGTTCCCCGACTACCAGATACCCGTTACTCAGCTAGTTGAATTTATATTTTGTGAAAAATCGGTACAAAAAAATATTTGCGAAAAAAATATAAAAAAATGTATAAAAATTTTTAATTTTTTCTAAAGGGCCTTATAGTTTTGGGCGGTTTGTTGGCATAGGAGTGGGCGTGGTAAAATGTTTTTTGGCAATCTTATATAACTTTTAAAGTTATATAAAAATATTAAAAACAAGATGGAATTCTATAGTCGGCTCGATTCTACTGAACTTCGCGAAAGTTGTTGATATTTACAAGAGCTCAGTTCGTTCCGGCAGTTGTATTGCATTAATTTCACAGATCAAACGCGCTGACAGAACCGCAAGCTAATGAAAATGTGAAAAGCCTCTGACATCCCCACTTTAATTCAATTTCCCATTTACAGTCCGTGAGCGCTTTTTAATGAAATGCGTGGCCAAAGCTACATTCCGACAAGTTCGTTGACGAATAATGAGCAATTTCGACAATTTAATTTTATAGTAAGCGGCTACTCTTGCTTGGGTATATACTATCTATAGTATATAGGTAAGCCGAATTAGTTCATAATATGAGACTAATAAACTTGTTTTAACTTTGTATAAATCTAGTCATTTCATTCTATTCTTATTCCCAAGCTATATTATTCCCATCTTATTCCCATTCTATATCTTATTCACTTCTTAAAAAGTTTATAATTATATTATATATAATGCTCATTGCGCCTTTTCTTAGAATAAGTCGAATTCCTCTATATTATCTCACCCTTTTGTAGTCTTCTGTGCAGAATTGATACCCTGAGAACGAATTCAGAGAAATGAATTATAATAAAAACCCAATAAGTAATAAAAATGCGGTGCAGTACGCTGGCAACCCACATATAAAGCGGAGAGATTGATACTGCATCTTATGAGTTCCAATCGAACAGTACACAGCGACACATCAACATTGAAGATGAATTCCGCAGTGCAAATTAGGTAAGCAATACTAAATCCAAGCCTAAGACCAGCCGACTTAATATTAAATGTTTTCAGCTGCCTTCTCCTGGTTCTTGGCTGCCTTTTGGGCTCAGGACACTCCCAAAGTGAAGCTGAATTCGCGGCCAAGTCCCGAGAAATAAGTCAGATTTTCGGGAATCCCTCCGTCGATAAATACACGAAGGCCCGCAATTTTCCCAAGCTGATAGCCTTTTACGAGAAATACTCCAGTCGCCTACATCTGACAGCTCAGGAAAAGAATAATATCGATAATTCTATTAAGCAGTATCGTGCACAGCAAAACCACCAAGTTGACGGAGTATCTGCTCAGGGAGGAAAGTTGTTTGACGTCCTCAAGAAAATTATTAAAGTCATTGTGATGGTCGTTGACAGTACGAAGGCCAATGAAGAACGTCAAAAAACTTGAAATTCTGTAACCAATTCCCAAGATGTTTAAATTGTAAATTTGAGAAACACATTTCACAAGTTGTATATAGGATTGGGCAAAAACTGTAATAAACATGAATCAATTCAAAACAAGATAGAATGCTATAGACCAGTTCAGACTATCAGATACCCGTTACTCAGCTAGTGGAAGTGCGAACGAGGCTATTGATCCTGATCAAGAATATAAATACTTTATATGGTCGGAAACGTTTCCTTCTTCCTGTTACATAAAAGGGTATACTAGACTCGTTGAAAGATATGTATCATGCAAAAGGAAGCGTTTCCGACCATGTAAAGTAATATATATAATATATATTCTTGATCAGGATAGCTATGTCGATCATGTCCGTCTGACCGTCCGCCTGTCTGTCCGTCCGTATAAACGTCTCAGGAACTATAGAAGCTTAAAAGGCATGCAGATTACATGATGCTTCCACGCCCACTCTAACGCCCACAAACCGCATAAAACTGCCAGGCCCACACTTTAAAAGAACAATTTTAAATATTTGTTCATTTATTTAATTTTTTGTTAGTACATTTCTATCGATCTGCCATATAAAGTATATATGTAAATTATTGATCAGGATCACTGGCCATGTCCGTCTGTGCGATCGATAGAAATGGGCAAAAAACCAAGAATGAATGCTATAGTCGAGTTCCCCGACTATCATATACCCGTTATCTGGAATATCGGTAGAATTTGGGAGAAAAAAATAATAACAAAAAAAATTACACATTTTTAAAAAGTGTGGGCATGTTTTTAAAAAAATAACTAAATTAAATTAAAATTATATTAAATTAAAAGTTTTTAGGCAAGTTATTAGAAATGTCCAAGTCTAATAAAAACGTGGCAAAAACTTGTTCGCAACCCAATAAAAGTTTACAACACTAATAAAAAAAGAAACAAAATCAAAACATTTTTCAAAAGAGTGCGAATGGAAATTTGATTTTTGGTCATTGAAATGGGCGTGGCAACGTTCTTAAGAAAACTTGCACATTTAGTCACCAAAAACTGCATGCCTAATCTCAAACAAATTTTACACGATAACCCTAACGCCTAAAAACTACTATTACTTTCGGAATTTTTAATTTTTTGTCACATTAGATGATAGCAACCTGTTGTTTGACTTCTTAGGGCTCGATCTTTCCTTTTCTTTCCTCGTGAGGAGGTGTTTTTGATTGATATTAATTATTATTAATTTTTCAGTGGGTAAGTTTACGTCAATACTAACACCAGGAGTAGCTCGCATTCACTTAGTATGTATTTCGGAGAGTGATTTTATAAAACTACTTGGTGCGCCATAGTTGGTGCACTTTGTCACTACGAGGACCGCCATCCACAGTTATATGTGATGCGTATACAGGGTTTCCATACCTGTTATCCTCTGGACTTCTTGACTACGAGATCGATAAATTTCACTTTGGACAGCAATCTTTGTCTTCAGACGGTCTTCTCCCGAGTATGACACCACCCGGGAGAAGAAAGAACTTCACTCTTCTTTGTCTCGGTTGGCCGAAGTTTCTTCTTGGCTACTCTGGTCATCGGTCTGATAGGCCAAGTGTTCCCACCTAGGAGACATATTGCATATTTCCCCTATTTTGGGAGTCAATACCCTGTTGCTGAACTACGCCCGTTACTGGAGTATCATTTCCGTGAGGTCGATTGCGGCCGTTGGACTGGAAACTGACACCCGTTTATTGCCGAACTGCATTTTCTGGGTTGCATTCCGTATAGCCCAACGAAATTGTTGTACGATTTACGATACGATGTACGGTTTTATGTGAGAATCTTCAAAGTCTTATGAATTCACGAATAGGGCGTACTTAACAAAAGATAACATTTTCTTCGAAGCGTAGTGGGATATTAATATGTAATCATCTGATAAATAAAAAAACAATTCTCGTAACCTATTTCAATGATTATGAATCCGATTTGCCAAGTCGATATCAACAGGCCAGAGTGCCAGAAATGGATGGTCCAGGTATACTCCAAGTGTCGGGATCTCTTCAAAGCCAATACATTGCCCAAGTGGGGTCTGGACAATACCCCTGTTGTCTATAAGGCGGATGTGGAGGCCATGTCCGTCGTAGATTGCCATCGGCTGAAGCGGGAATTGGCCAAGGAAGTGGCTGAAGAGGATAAGGATGTGGATGATCCGGATGAGCTCGATGATCTGGATGATATGGATCAAGTAGAAGAGGTGGAGGAGGCTCTTGATCCAGAAAGATTGGTGGCTCTATTTCTGGTCCTCTGCGCAATCGTTATCCTTTTGGTCCTTTTGTATCGAATGAAGCGGCAAAACAAAAGATTAAGGGAAGTTGAGGTTACAAACCCGGTTCCGGAACCGCAGGAAGCTCCACCTGCTTTACTCCCAAAAAAAAAGAGAAATAGAGCCGCCAACTGCAAAAGCTGGATGCGCAGGAGCTGTAGACCCTTCTTCCTCCACAACGAATCTCAGGTAAGACAGTACCAAGCACGTGCAGAAATGGAGGTGGCCATCCACGAGGAACGCACTCGGCAGAAGATCGCCATGTGGACAAAGGCTCGGGAGCGGGATGCCCAGAAAAAGAGGGATAAGCTCCAAAGAAATGCGAACAAGGCTTCCAAAACTTAATTCAAAAAGGCAACAATACCTATTATTTTTGAAATATTTGTTTATGCCCCTTTAGTAGCAACCTTACACATAAATAAATAAAAGTATGCTTATAGAAACCTTCTTTCTTTCAACTTGCAACTCACTTCGTAAAATAGAAGTACAACATAATAATATTTATACCATGTTTTTAGCTTATTGATTTATTTTCTCAGATCACAAAAAATATTGCCGTCTTATAATTACTGCATTAAGCAACAATACCTCAAATGATATAAGCAACTAGCCTTTTCAACGCCTATTACTTAAAAACAGTTGCACATAGCCAAATTCTTTGGAAATAAATTATACTAACTGGTCTCTTACACTTGCCACTAAAAGTGTGCCTACTAAAACTGATTTCGCTTCTCTAGAACAGTTTATAATATAAAAACGTTTTAAGGCAAAGGTTTTAAGTCACATATTTGATTGCATACAGCGCCTAGTTTAATTGTATCTTGTATGTATACATAGTTGTAAATAAATTGATTTACTTTATGGCCACAACTAAGCAGCGAACATTAGACGGTATTAAAATGTCTTTTGTTGCTCGTCAAGCTTACATTTATATCGAGTAATAATTTAATATATTTTGTGTAAATCTTTCAAAATTGATCAGACAAGCTTGTGCTCAATAGTTAGTAATTTGTTCCTTTTTTTTTAGGTATACGTAAGGCTCACTCGTAGTATGATTAATCTGTGGCGAGATCAATTAGTTTATGCGCTCTATTGTGCGAGTGTGTGCAGGTGTACAATAGTAATAAAGTATTTAAAAAACACTAACTTAATCTAAAACAATCAACTATTTTTAACAAACATGCAACTGAGAACTATGCCATTAACCTAATAAGTATGGGTGCATCTTGTATCTTGTCTCATTTAAAGCCACTTCATTCTGTTAGACATTCCGATTGTATGATAACATTTGAAGGTGACGTTCAGCAATGTAAGGCTGCTTTTGGTCCAAGGTTCCTATATACAGTCGCTGGGCGGCGCACCTATGTGAGTTTCTTGGCCCATTTCAGGTCGTCATCTCGGGGCTTGAGACCCGTAAAATGCTCGATGATGAGCTCGAATGTTGACCAGAATCTACTCGAATACAAAAGACATTACATCCATATCTGTTGTTTTGATAGGAGGCCGTACCTGATGCGTTCCAGTGGCCAGTTAAGCCATCCGGTGGTGATGCAAAAGTAGGTCTCGTGGGGCGCCACGTGATGGATGCGATGATGCTTGCGTGGCAGGATTATGTGACAGCTTTGGAGTAACAGGACCCACCTCGGCAATCCCCAATATGTATGCGACCATTTGTGTATCTTAATAGGATGCGTTTTAAGCTTAGGCAGGAAGCTTAGGAAAAACATTTCGATATACCTGATTGGTCATGGCCACGAATATGGAGCAGAGGAACACATAGGCTATCCAGCCGAAGTGTTGCTGTATCTCGCTGGGCGTCCGTATGTAAAAATAGTGAGCCAAGTACCCGAGGATTGGTATGCCAACCATAAAGTTGTCGCCATTTGTCTCAATGAAATCGTGTCGCGTTATGGATGTGGGATCCAGATGATGCTCGCGAAAGGGTCGCAGAAAGTTCTGGAAGAATCAAAAATATTTTCTGTATCACATGACGCATTCGATTCTCGATGTATGTATATGCGGCATACCTTTCCAATCATGGGTATGTCCACCGATCCCCATGTGTCCGCCGCCCAGTGAACCAAGCCAGAGGCAAAGTCAGCCGTTATAATGCCGCACAGGGCGGACAGAAAGGCCACACTAATCCGCTCCAATCGCAAGTGCCTAACAATCAGGGCCAGGTTAATGATCATAAGGCCAATGCAGGTGTAGACGCAAATGATTTCCTGGGCACGTTTTCCTGTTTAAATAAAAAAATGTAAATCAAGAATTCACGAAAATCCAACAGAGCGCCCTATAATCGAGTGTCTGGACTATCATATACCCATTACTAAGGTAAAGGAAGTCAGAGGGATTTGGAGTATGTAAACACCAATGTTTCTGCGATCGCACCATTTACCCTTGCGCTCTACAAGTAAAATGATTAATGGTTATAAATGATAAATGATTAACTCGCTTCAACAAACTAAGGAATTAATCTACTGATAACTCAATTTAAAAAATATAGTGCTAGAAGCCTAAATTCTTTCTGTTAGTGCTAAAGTTCTTACTCAGAGTATGTATCTCTGTAGGTCGGCATTATACATATTAGTCTCCTTCTTTTTAATCATCGGCTGTTGCCTTCTAGTTCACCTTCCAGTAACTTTCCCCGTAACAGCTTGTAACCTGTGGGAATTGCTCACCTGGACTGTACAAAAGGGCCAGTTCCTGGGCGCCCTTATTCTGCGGACCCCATCGCGGAGAAGTCGAAGTTATGGTCGCCGAATTGGGTGATTGGGTGGTATTGGTGCCAGCTGTGGTGACCTTTAGCTCCTCCGGCTTGGCCGATTCCTGATCTTTGGTGGTGGCGGGCGCTAGGTTGCCATTGGGGTCGTCCTCATACATGGAGTTGGCCAGAATATCCATATCGCTCTTGGCCGTCATCGTCTGTGGATGGAGGAGTGTAAGACGGGAATCGAGCGAAGTAAACAGCTTGGAGGCCTTGACGACGATTCCTGACTGATTGAATTCAATGCATTGGCTGAATTCAATGTCAGGCCACCGGAATTGATTGCCTGTGAATAATGGCATCTGGTTCAATTGGTCGCCCCTACATAATTGATGATTGCGAGGGCAGCCATGTGGTCATAAAATACTTATTTCTATATATTTAAATGATTAAAATGTTTTCGAAAACCAACAGCTTTAGCTGCAGCGCAACCAAAGGACACACCGTCGCGTAGCTCCAACCGATGACCTCTGGTCAGGGATCCCAGCTTGTTGCGACGTTCGTTGATGTCATTACCTCCAGCTGCACCGACCTCCCACCCCCTTCATCCCCAAACGACTGGTCACGCAATATTTTGGACTTACGCCTGGTCTGCAGGGACCTCCAGAAGCTAACCCTACCGACTGACCTGAGTTGAGTTCAGTTGAGTTGTCATAGGCGGAGGCGCGGTCTGGAGGTGCCTTAATTAGGCAAATTGGTATTTAAATTGTTGTGAAGGCTATCTAGCTCTTTTTTTGGGTAGGTTGATTAACGCGATGGGCTTATATTAGTATTATATTTTTAGCAGCTTATTTGTTTCTTTGTTATTCGGTGCTTTATAGTTGATGGCCCTCTGCTCGCTCGTAAATGGGTTCAAACACGATATGTGGGCGGAAACGTGTACAACAAACAAAAGTCTCATTTGCACTTGGAGTAGGTTCAAAATAATGTTATTTTAAGTAAACAACTATGCCCTTCTCACCTCAAGATGTACTACCTCCGGGGATTACAACCTCGGTAAGGGACATGAAGCACAGTCTAGAGGAGTCCAGACCAATATTAATAGTAATAAGTCCGGGAAACCAGAAAGATCACATAAAATAAAAAATATACCAGAAAGTTTTCCCTCTGGAGTGCACTAGTTTATTGATTGCCGTTAATTTTGTTTGAATTAAGAATACTTACTGCCCCAAAGCGCAATTGGGACTAGAAATTGACAAACGCGCTCGCAATTACACAAATTATCCCAATAATAGTCGGAAGTATTACACAAATTAACTGTTCCAAATGCTCCATAGGCCGTATTTCATTAGGGAACTATGGCGAAAGCACATTAATCAAAACCGGCAACTGCCTATTGATAAAGCACCGCCGAAACACGCGTGGCCATATATTCCCTGCTACTAATGTTTCCGAATCCGGGAGTCTCGAAGGACACGAGGACAGGACCTGTAATGCGATGGCTGAGTTCCAATACGCCCAGCTGGCAAACGCAAACATTTCCAGGTGACGTGCATCGGCCAGGATAAACAGACGGACGGAATGAACCCAGTAGAGCGCTGATTCGAATTTCAACTTGGGAGAACGCTGTAGTCGAGTGACTCGACTATCAGACACCCTTTACCCATATCTTTAAGGAATAACTTAAGGAATATTACAGCTAAAATGTTGTTTGGCAGGTAGATACTATTGCTGCGTCGTTAGAACCTTCGTGATTATTTTGAAATATTAAGCTCTTATGATTCCTGTAATTCTTATAATTTTATCTCAAGCTTTTCATGCTTTTCAGGAACACATATACTTCATAGGGGTGGATACGATTTTATGTACCTATTACACCTGTTACATGCTTTTCAGCGAATCCAGCATACCCTTTTACTCTTCGACTAACGGGTGTAAAAACACATGCCAACTCCTGAAGTTGTGGGTGTAAATGTAGCGATTGTGGGTGGTGGGCGGTGCTGAGCGAAGAAACCTAAATGAATGTGAGAATGCCGACAACTAAATTCTTTGGCGCCGACTTCAGGGCAGCCCACGCCTGTTCTAGATACCCTGTAGCCACTGGGTACAAGTCGATCGTTTGCTAATTTAATTTTATTTCAGTTACCAAAAAAAAACTTAAAATTCCTTTCTTAAAAAATGTTCTATGGAATATGTATTTTATGTGCTAACTGTAATTATTTGGTGGTTTCTTGTATATCATCAATATAATTTTTAAAGCCATTTAATTTGAGCAGGGATCACTTTTTGAAGAACAAAATGGTTACCTTTACACAAGTTTAACTTTCACATTGGAAGAATTAAAACAATATATAAATATATTATTAAATGTTAGATATACTAACAATAATAAATTTTGTACACTGTTTCTTAGCATAGTTTTTTCAAGCAATTTAAGAACCACTGCGCTGAAAACCCACAAAACCCAAAGAGTTTTTCCAAAATTTGTTGTCCTGAGAACAGAGAACTCCGACCTTCGAGCCGCCCGCCTGGCTAATTATTCGTTTGTTTGCTCGCGAAAGGCATAAAAAAGGGCGCACAGCCAACAGGTAATAATTTGGCACAGCGTAGCCACGATTTTCGTTGTGGCGCCGCAGGAAAAACAATTTATTACACGAAATGCGCGAAAAGACACTCCAAATGGGAAAGTTGGTTTCGTTTTCCAAAGGCAGGTGGTTTGAGAAAGGTCCACCCCATTCCTTTCGGGTGACAAAGCCAGCAGCTTTTGTTTGCCCGCCCAACTGCGCTCTTGTTTTAAACATTTGTAGTTGGCATAGCGGTATTTATAGCCCCGTTTGTTTGTTGTCGCGACTTTTCGCAAATTGATAAGAAACCTGCAATCGGCTCTATTTATAAGGCAAGCGAAAATTACTCACCGCTTCGCAGGTGTTTTAATTGTTATTGTTGGCGCTCCGAAGTTGTTGTTGTTTTGAGGCCTATTTCTTGCAACAATTAAATCTAAATGACCGTCTGCCAAGTATTGATTAGGACCAAAAACATGTGCACACGCAAGGAATTGTTAGGCATTCACTAACGTCGATTTACAGCGAACCCAGGCGTCGGCGTCCTATTTTTTATAGTGGCATCCAAATGTAAATAAATGCTTTTTTCTTTCGTTTTTTTCTATGCACGTGATTTAAGGCTGCCCCACCGTACACTCACACACACACACACGCACGCCGCGCACTCTCGCACACACTCACACACACACGCGGGCGCGGGAGCTGCAGTAATAGTGCCGCTACTTTGCACCAGTAAATTCCGAAAGAAACTAAACTAACAGGAAAACCGAATCGTACGGCGCAGCCATTTTCATTCATGCCCCCGAAGTCGCGTGTGTGTGGGTGTCAACGTGAGGGTCGGCCTTTACCGTTACGTTGGGAGGCCAATTGGGTTTTGGTTTTGGCCATGTTGCCTTACTCACAGTTTATTCTAGCATTTTCAAACGCCCACAGTTTGTAACTCAGTCCTTTCGTCTTTGTTAAAACTATTCAAATTTTGACGGTTAAGCAAGTGCAAATTATGATTAAGAAATTTGAAACTTCAACCGCAAACGATGTACCTTCAATAGCTTTATTTATGTTTCAGTTTAAACGAGAGTTGTTAAGCAATTAAAAAAATAATTCATGTCTTATAAATGTATATTTATTTATTTATGAAAATAGTTCTAGGCTAGTAACCCTTCAGATAGAAACAACCAAAGCTTAAGTATAAACTAATTGAAAAAGTATCAAGCCAAACTTTGGTCGGGGAATGTTCCGCCCCTGAATGTATCGATAGTCGATACTTCGGCAGCGCTGCCAGCAAGTCGGAAAACAGCTGGTCCACCGGCTGCACGCAACTTACCTTGTTACGTCGTCGCCTCTGCATTTTTTGAAATAAATACCTTGTTTTATTGAAATAAAATGTTGCCTATTGCACGTGGAGTTTACAGAGGGCTAGCCACCATTACTCGGAATAGCCGTGGAGCTTTTCACACGGCCAGCGCCTTCCGATGCAAAGCGGAGACTTCGACTGAGGGAAATGATGCGGCTGCCACAGAAGGTGAAGGGGAGGATAGCGCCAGTGGTTCCGCACCGGACGCGAAGGATCGCAGCAAGGCCATCCCCGTGGAGACCTCGATTCGATACTTAAAGAGCGCCGCTTACAAGCAAACCTACGGCGAGGACTTTGTGTGGACGCAGTATCGGTAAGTGCAATTGAAAACATGCACATGAAATCTTCCATTGCATACAATCTCTTTAGGCGCAACCACAAGGGCATGTATGCGCCGCGCAAAACGCGAAAGACGTGCATTCGCCAGAACCGTATCACAACCGGAAATCCTTGTCCCATTTGCCGTGATGAGTACTTGGTACTGGACTACCGCAACACGGAGCTCCTGGAGCAGTTCATATCGCCCCACAGCGGAGACGTTCTCAGCTACTCAAAGACAGGCCTGTGCCAAAAGAGTCATTTGCGACTAATGGTCGCCGTTCAGCAGGCCCGCGACTCCGGATACATAACATATGATGTGCCCTTCAGGGAGTATGATTACAACGAGTACTACGGCCAGGAGCAGAAGCAGAAAGCTTAACTAACTACCTTGTTTTAATTAAAAGAAATTACCGTAAACAAATTCAGGATGCGTATTGATCGGAGTAATTCTGTATTAATGGCACACTCTCTGGCATGTCGATTACCTTTGTCGAAACGGTGTAATATTATATATTAACTAAATTTACAACAAAATCGCAAGATAAAGACACTAGGCTAAAGAGTTTTCCATTATTTTTTATTGACAAATATCAATAGGCTCGGTTACCGCTAAGTTTAAATTTATTAATCAAGTAATTGCTGTTTCGGGTTAACTGATTTAAATGCTTATGTACATAATGTACCCCTAGACCATTTGAATGTTCTCCTTGTTCTCCCCCCCGAGTTCGTCATCAAGGAGTTGGTGCTGCGATCGCTGAGCCAGCAGCTGACCGGATTCGGGGAAAACCTGCACATTTTTCCCGCAGTTGTAAAAGCTGCAATTACCTAGCAAGTTGTCCTCGTTGTACCTGCAAAACGGCATATTAGTTTAATTTTTAAGGGTTAAAGTATAAGGTATTTTTATTTACCGTTGAAGTTCGCTGAATTTGTGTAAAACCAGTGGCTTTTCCATTTTCTGCTCTCCCAAAACGAAGCCATCTGCCAGGATTCCTAAAGCACAGTTTTCAAAACTGCACTTGCTACCCTGCAGATTAACCGAAGTGGTTTTCTCAAGCAACTCCAGTCCAGTCTTGCAGGTCATAAACTGGACGTTTCCCAACTCAGCGCTAGATTTCGGTCGCATCGATACACCCACAGCAAAGTTTTCAATTAGGCAACTTTTGAGTTCCACGCTAGCGCCTGGCATGCAGACAATACCCTCCTGGGTGCTGGAGGTCCCATCGCCCAGCATGCGACACCCTTGCATAGTCAAAGTGCCGTTGCGCAGCAGGATTCCTCTCCGGACATGGCGGCAATCCAATACCAATTCGGACAAGGTATAGTCGCCATCAATGACCAGCAGGGTGCTGTCCTCATCACTTGAGCACACCACAGGCAGCAGGGAAAGATCTGCAGCAGGAGTTAGTATGGCTTTTGGCTGTGTGAGCCCCCTCAGGCTACCATTATCGTTGAGGTGCTCCAAGAATTTGATTGTATGCTCGCCAGGCGAAAGCAGAATATCATCGTTGCTCTGGCAGATGCTCAGGACATCCTGCAGCGTATTGGACAGCTGCACTTGCGATTCCGGCTTGACCAGTGTCTGGGCCAGCTTCAGCAGTTCCAGCTGCTGCTGCAGTTTCCCCGGTAAGGTTACCACATGGCTTATGGGATTCCGCTCTACCAAGAAATCCTCCGATTGTCTGGCTCTCCCTGATGAGCAGCGAAGTCGCTTGAGGCTGTTTGACTGCAGTTCACTGTAGGCTCGCCTCATTTCAGGATTTTCGAGGATTTCGAACTCGCTCCTTATGATGGCCATGCGCAGGTGCAAGCACATAAGATCGGTTACCGGCAGACTGGAAACATTGAGACTGCCATTGGCACTGCCCGTCCTAGATTGTTTTTTAGCGGGCTCTGCTGCGTTGTCATTGAGCTCCACAGCCTCGTCGTCGCTCTCGACATCACTGAGGTCCAATTCTAGATAGTCCAAACGCTGCTGAATGTATTTGGCTTCGGTGAGCAGGGTGCGCATGTGCAATGCCAGTGGGCGAGGTAGTCTGTTCTTGCTGAGATCGCAAACTAGTTGGATACGAGCCTGCAGATGCTGTTGCACCCAGTCGCGATCATCGTCGTAGTCCTTGTCCCAAGGCATCCACACATGCGTGTAGAAGAACCGCAACCGATCGATGCATTCCGCGGTGGTATCCGCATTCAGAGCTGTGTTCTCCTGCTGCACAGTGGGCCACAGCTCCACCAGTGACACCTCATTACTCTCCGGAAGGTGGACATCGTTATCCTGCACGGCGGTCACCACAAATACCGCCTTTAGCTCGTCGAAGATCACCTGCTCCACGTAGCCATAAACAATGGTAGGATAGCGAAGTTTCAGATCCTCGCAAATAACGCGCGGTATTTTCCAAAACGCCTGCCATCCTATAATCCATATAGTATATAGTATACATGTAGTTGATTTGTTGCGTTTTTTTTCGCACGAGTGTGTGTGTGGGTGGCTTACCTGCAGGCTCAATTTTTAATTCTACGTAGGATTTCCACTCGGATCGAACCTGGGATGCGGGCATCACGGCTCCTTCCCACGAAAGTACCGCCTCCGCTTCTTTTAGGCGCTCCAAATACGATTTTTCAAAGGTAAACACTTCCATTTTCCTCTATTAAATGAACTTTGTGTTCGTTTATACAAATTTTTGAAATGCGTGTGCAGGCAAAGGCTTCGATAACGATTGTTCGAGTGGCGTTATCGCACAGTACAACCATGCGTTGAGTTTTCTAGCTCTTTACTCGTTGGCTATTATTTAAATAGCTTTTATTTTGAAACTACTTTTGTATGTTTTTGAATATATTTCATATGTGTGAACACGAGCTTAGGTATTGAAAATCTGCTTGACATGCTCAGATATTTAAAATGTGTGTTCCCGATCTAGCTATTTCTGGCTAGTCTTAGGATCAGCTACTTTTCGCAATAATTTATCGCCAGCAGTACTGTAAGTATCGATTACAGTACTTATTCAGTGCAGTGTTGTTTTCATAAACACAACATTCGTATAGAAATTAAACATTTTAATACAAATTTGAGCACTATGGCCTCAAATAGCATGCCAGAGGAGAATTTCGAGGGCGGCGATGTAAGAAAATAGTAAAAGCAACAGCTCCAAGTCTTCTATTCTTAGCTAACCACACATTTTAGTTTAACTATGATGACGATGCGGATGATGACCAATTTGTGGCTACCAACTCAGGACGAAAGCGCCTTTTCAGCAAGGAGCTGCGCTGCATGATGTTCGGATTTGGAGATGACAAAAATCCATACACGGAAACCGTAGATCTGCTGGAAGACCTAGTCATCGAGTATATCGCTGAGACCACTCACCGGGCAATGGAGATCGGACGAACAGGCCGCGTTCAAGTCGAGGACATTATCTTCCTAGTGCGCAAAGATCCTCGAAAATACGCCAGGGTCAAGGATCTCCTGACAATGAACGAGGAGCTGAAAAAGGCGCGAAAGGCCTTCGATGAGATCAAGTATGTGGGTGAGTATTGCAAACGGTTGTCATCCATTAAGGTCTATATATAATCTACCATTCAAACGAATATTTCCCAGGCACCGAGGGCAAGCTTAAATGACAGCGGCCAAAAAAAGCAACACCGAATCCAGGTACAAGCCAATCCTAGCAGTAAGCTCCAAAATATGAATTATTTTAAATATATTTAATACTATAAGCTAGCGCATAATAAACTAATCAAAATAATCTTCAATGTCAATGTCGGGATTAAGAATGTCATTGCCATATGGCTCCAAATCGATGCCGTTCAAGATGAGGTTCTCGCAGGTCTCTGCGAGATCAGAGTTGCCGATTAGCATGGCTCCCCGTAGTCTGTTATTCTGAAGCACAAACTTGATGTATTCCTTGTTTCTCGTACAGCGCACCAGAATATCGTAGTCCCTGCCCAAATCCTGACCATTAAAGCGTCCCAATAGGACAACAGGATATCCGAAAAGTTTGGTTACGTGGCCGAAGAGCTCGAAGCAGAAATCCTGATACACACTTTCACCTTCACTGGCGGCCGCCATACTCCTCCCCGCCATGGAGCCCATTTGCCGAGCCTGAGTCCACAGACGCATCTGGAACCAGTGCATCGCGGCTGGCCAGTTGGCCGTGCATACATCTCCGGCCGCAAACACGTCGACCAGATTGGTACGCATCATTTCATCCACGGATATGCCACCATCGGCGGAATATTTAAGTGGGGAATCACAGGTGTAGTGGGTATTAGGCAAAACTCCCGTTGCGGAAACAATAAAATCACAGGTTAACTGCTCAAAGCTCCCATCCTCATGCTCCAAGTTGACTATAACACCTGCGTTGTCGGCGAGATTCTGAACGCTATGTACGCGGGATTTGTAATAGATCTTCGGTAGGCGTTTCGCTCCCCTTTCACCTGCTCCACTCAAATCGAAGGTGCGATGCCAATCCGGACCCAATGCAGCTCCATGGTTGCTTGTCTGCTCCTTGGGCAGCACTTCACTGTACCGCATTCGCTTAATAGCTGTAACCGGAGAGGAATCCTGCTCATTAACTTCATTCATGGCTATGTGAAAGAACTCCGCTGCTCCCGGATCCACAAATGTAGCCGAGATGTGGGAATCCTTGACCACCCAATGGACATTTACTTCCTTCAGCTCGTAGGCCAACTCACTGGCAATGCCGCCATTGCCCAAGATCATGATATCCTTGGCTGTCGCCAATTTTCGCTGCAGCTGCAGTACAGAGTCCGTGTCTCGAATGCCAATGACAAGGGGATCTTTTACTTGGCCGGAGAAGAGTTTGGGTGTACCACCAGTGCAGAGGCACAGATAGCGATACTTGACCTCCACACCCGCTTTTGTGCGGATGAAGTGCTCGCTGCTGTTGATGTGATCCAGTTGATCCACTAGGGTCTCGAAACTAGCTCCCATTTCGGAGACATCCTGCTCCCGAACGTCGAACTTGTGCAGATAGCGAGCCACCGGCACCAAATTGGTGACACTCTTTACGACGCTGGACTCCGTGAGCAGGAGAACGGAGGCGTTGGGTCTGCAAATGACCAGGGACTCGACGCAGCTGACGCCAGCGATACCTCCTCCAACCACCAGGAACTCGCACTCCCGCGACATCCTCAGGTACACTTGCTATGATAAAAAACCAAGAAATAAAGAAAAAGCAATGTGATTCACATTCCCTAACGAGCAACTGAACAGCTGATTTCAAAACAACACAGTGAATCTTGTTTTTAAAGCACGGCCACGACATAAGTGGAATAAAATCTATAGGTTTAACAAATATATATTAAGCTTGCAACTTACATTTTAGGTAGCTAGGTTCCTGCAGTTATTACGATATTTCAGCAATGCCATTTCAGCACAGTGGTTGCAGCCGAGTATCTACTGTACGCTGTGTTTATTTGTTTGGTATTTAATAAATGCCACAATATAATGCAGCCCTACTAAATATACCGCGCAATAGCCGAATGAACCCCTTGGGAAGCCTCTGGATTATTTATAGACAACCTTAATATCAACAACACCTTCATCGGTGTATGGGCCTATATTTGAGTCTTTATCGAAAGATTTAGAAGGACGAGGAGGAACCATGACCATGGATCACTGGATGAGGGATCTGCCAAGTGAATTGCGCGACCTGTCCATCATCAATCTGGCTATTCCAGGTACGATGAGATCATCGCACTAACTGAATTAATTGAGGAGTCTGCAATCTAGTATAGGTGCCCACAATGCGATGACATATGGCATAAATAGCAAGTCTGAACTATCGCCAGATGCGGAAACTTCCATTAGGCGATGGCATCGCTTCTTTCCCTGCTTCGTCCGCCGTTGGAGCAAGACGCAATCCTCTGGGGCATTGGAGCAACTGGAGTTGGGCGTGCGGTACTTTGATCTAAGGATAGCCCAGAAAGATGAGAAGTTTTACTACTGTCATGGCCTCTTCGCCATGGAGATTTTCGAGCCGCTTTTAGAGATTCGCCAGTTCGTGGACTCCCATCCAGAGGAGGTGGTAATCCTAGATCTACAGCATTTTTATGCCATGACAGTGGCTCATCACCAGCAGCTGCACAAGGATCTGATCCAGTTCTTCGCACATCGTCTGTACTCCACGGTAGATGGTTCCCTCAAGAATTGTACTCTGAATAGATGTTTAGAAATGCAGCGCAGCGTGGTGGTCATCTATAGGCGATGTCCCATTCCGCTGCCGCTGAGATTCTGGCCCAGTTATGCGTGGCCCACGCCGTGGCCCAATAAAGCGAGTGTCAAGAAGCTGCAATCCTTTCTGGAGGACTCCCTACTCTCGCGACAGCCCCAACAGGGTTATGTCTCCCAGTGCCTAATCACGCCCACAGGCCGCTATATCGCCTTCCGGCTCTTCTTCACCCTAAAGAGCACAGCAAAACGGGTGGACAAGAAGCTACAGCCTTGGATTCAGGAACAGATTCCTGGTCCCTTTAAGCCAAACGACGAGCCCAGGGTAAATGTGTTTCTGGCCGACTTCGTTAACCTCAAGGATGGACAGTTCTGCGATTGGGTAGTGAACCTAAACACAAAATTACTGGAGCAATTGGCTGGGGATAGGGATCTGGAGTCCACTTGAAAGCGTGGTAAGGGAGGGGCCCAAAGATAAAGAATTCCACTATTGTGGGGAAGACCGAAGAAAGGGAAGGTTATTAGCTTGTTGTAGTTTTAATATTTTTATAAACCAATATTTGGATTTTGCCACAACGCATGATACAAAGTTGTTCAAAACCCGTGATAAGCTTTTGAAGAGGCAATTTTTTAAAAACCAGAGCATATTAAAAATCAGTTATGTACAAGCTTGATTTGAATATTAAGTTATGAAGGACCAGAAAAAAAATGAAAATGCTTAGAACCAGCTAAACCAGTGGTTTATTTGATAAACGATTTGTAAATTGTTTTATGACACCGCCGCATAAAATGTTTTTTTTTAAAAAGCTAGTGACAAGGCAAAAAAATTGTTTACAAAAGCCAGTTTTAACTTGTTGGTGCTATTAATATATTTTATTTTTAAAAACCAATATACAAAATATATATTTAAAAACATAAAAACAAACACAAAGCACATTGCAGCATAAAATCTAGTCCAAGGTGCGATCTAATCTTTGTCAATCGATAAGAAAGCGCACAGCCTTCTGAGTTTTCGTAGGCGAGGTGACGCTTGCAGTGGCTTCCGCCCGAGCCAATGAAGTGTGCATCCCGTTGAGCACGGAGTCCAGTCGTGCCAGAGCCTCCTGCAGGCTGACGGCCAGGACACCGTTGTCCTGATGATTTTCCCGCTCGAGTAGGGCAGCCTCGCAGTGGTGGCGTAATCGCTGGGCGGATCGCTGCATGACTTGCAGCTCCTGTTGGACGAGCGTGCTAAAGCTACTCTGGCCGCCAGGTGTCTCCTCCGGATCGTAGGTCAGCAGGCGTTTGGTGAAGTGCACCAGTTGACTTCCAGGTGAGGGAGTGGATGTCTGCCGCGCTGTATTGCTGTTGCTGCTTGACGCGTTGAGTAGTCTTTTCAGTGGTTTATTCAACAGAACATCCTTCATTGCACTTAGATTAAGGGCGATGCGGCTCGAGTTGTGTGTGTCACTGAGTGTCTCATTGAGATCCGCGTCCAGTGGCTCCCAGTCAACCTCAACACTCTGGAAAATGGTTGCGGCATCTAGCTTTTCCTGCTGTTCAGCATTGTCCCTGACCAAATCCAACCACACTCCCAGTCTGGCAGTGGGCCACTCGGCCTTTAATCCTCGCTGCTTATCTAGGATCAAGATTACAGTGCGCAGCAGACCAAACTCATCGGGCGTCTGAGTTTGTCGGAACTCCAATGGCAAGCCCAACTGACGACAGCGCTGGGTGGCCTCTTTGACCATCAACTGAGTCTTGTGAAGACTCTCCTCCGAGGGATTCAGCATGATACGCTGAATATCCTCCAATATAGTCGACTTCTGTGCTGGAGTCGTTACAGCATCTTCCTGCCTTAAGGGAGTGTGTTCCTGTTGTTGGGCCAAGGCCAAGGCTTGACGTTCCGTCTCCAGCATCTCGCTGTTGCATTTGTACTTGAACTGCTCTAGTTCGAGGCACTGCAGGCGCTCCTCAAAGTCCCGGGCATGCTGCGCCCGCTCCTGCTCGATCTTAGTAAGAGCGGCTCGTTTTTCCGCCTCCAGCTCGGTGCGAAGTTGCTGCTCCTGCTTTTGCAAAATCTCCTGATGGGCCAGCTGGAAATCTACCGGACCATCGGCCTTGCCTCTTTGCGAGCAGAAGGGATTAGAAATGCGAAAGTAGTGTGAGCCACCTATAACGAGGCGGTCCCCATGGAACAACTGGCGTCGATTGTCCAGGAGTTCTCCGTTCACATAGGTCTCGAAGTCCTGGCTGCCGGGAATGACATACAACTTGCCACCACGTTCATGCTCGATGCTGCAGTGCTGCAGGGCCACCAGTGGACCATCCAGTACAATATCAGGCTGCGAACTAGAACTTCCTCCTGGCAGACGACCTCGTCCTATCCGCACCAGTCCTTGGGGCAACAGATAGAACAGGGTGCCACTCAGTATGGGATCCGCTGTTAAATTGACCAGACAGGCCTGCTTCTGCTCGGCGGTTAGTTCCAGAGCCAATCCCCGTCGTTTTAGGACACGAAGTTCCGACTTGCGCTGGTCCTCCGCCTCCTTGAGCTTCTCCATCCAGGATTTTTGCGCTCGACTCAGCTCCCTTTCCCGTTCAGCCAACTGCTGACGCAGTGCCTCCACCTCAGTCTCATCCACGGAGGTTTCAATAATGATCTTACGTGGCACAGGATTATTACTATTGCCGGACAAGCGCCGCTGGCGTTCGTACTCGTTCCTCAGCGACTTCAGGCGATCCACTTCGGCGCGCAGATCCCGTATGATTTTGTCGTGGGGAGATTCGTTCACCTTCACCCGGTTGACGATGGAACGAGCCTTGCAGGCGTATCGCAAAGTGGCTAGGGTCTCATCCGCATGGATGCTGGCCGGTGATATGGTGGCCAACATGACCGTCTTCGAGTTCCCGCCGAGATTTTCCTGGAAAGAAGGAACACCAACAGTTAAAATGAAAGCTCTGCATCATGGGATTGGGTGAGCAATTGTATTGTATTTTTAGTCAATCTCTGGAGCAAATTAAACTATTTATTGACAGGATCGAAAAATCGCAAATGGGAGTTGTAATATAGTGTTGCTTGACTTTCCGCTTCTCGCTTTCATAACAATATTTTTTCACACCTTTTTATTTATAATTCAGTTCACAACAAGGGCATACATAAATCAGTAAAACAAATGTACCCCTGTGTATAATATGATATGATGTAAAACCTAGTATCTTATAGTCGGGGAAAAAGGAGTTAAAAAAACCTATTTATATAATCTTAATGGTTCCTGTATGGAGTTGTTATTGGAAATGGTCCATTTAATTTTAATGTGATAAGAATGATTTAATGTGACATATGGGGCTGAAGAAAGTAAAGCAAATATGATTCTTAATAAACATATTTTCCATCCAATTAAATAGCTGGATTGCCTCCCAAATTGATAAGGGAATTTCCCTTTTCACCCTAAGCAGATTCAGTAGAAAGGAATATACCCTTCTATGCGAGAGGTACGATGATTAACGATCGGTAAACATTGAGCCCATGGCGACTATAATGCTCTCAAAACAGATGCGTGAAAATCTCAAGGAATGGAAACTTGACAATCTAAACCTTCGAGTGTGTGTTTCGATTGTGGACTCAGTGCGATAAGGATGGGCAAAATTATGATAAGACAACGCCCAACTGTTTGCGTAAAGCTACCATGACAAAGGCACCTACTGATGGCCGTTATCATCTGCCTTATCAGAAACTTCTGTGTGAGTATGGTATAGTTGTTGTGCACACAAAATGCATTCACATGCAAGTACACGGAAGGAATAGGTTTAAAAATAAAGGTTACTAATTCAAAATGTTACATATTTGTCTGCTGTGATATTGCTTGAGCTGATTGCAAATGCATTGGCCATCCGCCGCATTTATATCTAATAGGTTTTTTTGAAGTGTGCATTCTGCATATCTATTAAAATAAAGCTTCGTATTAGCTATTTAGGACATTGTTGGCAGTGTGCGTAAGTGACACTTGTTTGATTAAGCAGGTCAGCACCGTGGGCCAAACAAGAGCGGGAATCGAAAAGAGAATGGTTGATTACACAAACTGCGCAGCAGCAGCGGCGTAGGCGTGCACAGTGGTCGGAGGAGCAAAAACACGCCGTGAAAAATAGCTACCACGGGCATAGGTGACCTTAGGGGCCCGTCAGTGTCGTCTGGTCAGAATCTGGGTCCATTAACCGCAAATGAATTCAATTAATGGCGACGCTCTTTGTTAGTCATTCACGTACCAAAGCGTACCATATAAAAAATATTTTTGCCTAAATATAGCTCTCTTCGTCCTCCCACCCTTAGAAATCAGTCACGATCTCCCCAAAAATGAACAAAATTCGCGTGCACCAAACTTAAACCGCAGGAGGGCGCTAATAAAGGCGGTATGCTTTTTAAGCCAAGACACAAAACCTTGATCGGAACCGGCTAAAATGACGTAGACCACCAATTAACACTAGATTTAAGCAAATTTTTTTATTCAAATGTTCGCAAGCTTCAACCTTAGGCTACTGAAGAAATGCAGCTTGAGGCTTTACACGATTTGAATGAATGTTGGGTTTCCAGAATGCCACACGCTTGAAATAATTTCCATACCGACTATGGAAAGTTTATAAAAACACTCCAGCTGGGCTCTTAAAAATGCTCAATCCGGTTGGCAACCAAATTTGGTTTAATAAATAAGGTTAAGCCAAGGCATACTCGGCCTGCAGTCTAGACCGTGATTAGCGAACCTTATAAAGACAAAATGTCCATCCAATCCTCCAGATGATCAGCCGTCGAACATCCGTCAGATCACTCTCATGATTACTTTTTCGTCATCTTTGCGGTATTAGCAATTCGGCGCTAATAAGAAAAACTTCCAAGAGTATTCCTCATGCCCCGCCTAATTAACATTTATTAAACATTTTCGAGTTCCCGCCGAGATTTTCCTGGAAAGAAGGAACACCAACAGTTAAAATGAAAGCTCTGCATCATGGGATTGGGTGAGCAATTGTATTGTATTTTTAGTCAATCTCTGGAGCAAATTAAACTATTTATTGACAGGATCGAAAAATCGCAAATGGGAGTTGTAATATAGTGTTGCTTGACTTTCCGCTTCTCGCTTTCATAACAATATTTTTTCACACCTTTTTATTTATAATTCAGTTCACAACAAGGGCATACATAAATCAGTAAAACAAATGTACCCCTGTGTATAATATGATATGATGTAAAACCTAGTATCTTATAGTCGGGGAAAAAGGAGTTAAAAAAACCTATTTATATAATCTTAATGGTTCCTGTATGGAGTTGTTATTGGAAATGGTCCATTTAATTTTAATGTGATAAGAATGATTTAATGTGACATATGGGGCTGAAGAAAGTAAAGCAAATATGATTCTTAATAAACATATTTTCCATCCAATTAAATAGCTGGATTGCCTCCCAAATTGATAAGGGAATTTCCCTTTTCACCCTAAGCAGATTCAGTAGAAAGGAATATACCCTTCTATGCGAGAGGTACGATGATTAACGATCGGTAAACATTGAGCCCATGGCGACTATAATGCTCTCAAAACAGATGCGTGAAAATCTCAAGGAATGGAAACTTGACAATCTAAACCTTCGAGTGTGTGTTTCGATTGTGGACTCAGTGCGATAAGGATGGGCAAAATGATGATAAGACAACGCCCAACTGTTTGCGTAAAGCTACCATGACAAAGGCACCTACTGATGGCCGTTATCATCTGCCTTATCAGAAACTTCTGTGTGAGTATGGTATAGTTGTTGTGCACACAAAATGCATTCACATG